ACTGACTATGATAAAAAAATTCAGTGGTTATAAAAGTATAAGCCATGTGATTGATTATTTCCAAATGCTGAAATGTTATTTAGTAGTTAAGGCAATTTGCACATTTGATTATTTAGAACTCTTATAGCGTATGTATTTATCGTGCATACACTTAGGAAGGTTTTACTGTATATACTGTATGTACATACTTTGAAATTATAACTTGGCTTTAGCAATTTACGCATATCTGATGTTTGAAATACAGTAACCCAATTCTGTTTTTTTTCTCACTATATGGATTGGAACTGCTTTTTTTAACAACTTAACTAAACAAACTATTTAATTCAGTCGAGTGATAATATAATCTTAGCCTAGAGCTCTAAGTATGTTTTGTTAGAACCCAAATTATTACACATATTTTTTATTAGCATATTTTTGTGTAGTATAACAAAGTAGAGAGAATATTTTTCTAGAATACACATAGCTAATTGTATGAATAAATTAAGATACATATATCTAACTATATATAAGTATAGTGTTAAATAGGGTTAAAAAAATACAAATTTCTTAGATACAAATTGTTAGCAAGATTATGATTGCCTTTAATACATTTATCATTTTTACAATTGTATACAAAATATACTGTATTAACTGCATTGACTACACCAATTGGAAAAACTCTTTGCCACTTATTTGTTGTATGTAGTCTGTATATCGGGCAATCTAACTTTGTTTGGTTTGTGTTTTCAAGCCAATTAATAATAATGAAGATAGTATTATATTCATCCTTTTGAACACAAAATATTGAACATATAATTGAAAAACTTTCTTCTTCTTTGTCAGAATTAATTAAGACAATGTCTCCAATATGTAAATAGCATTGAATAGAGGTATCATTTTCTTCAATCAGGAAACTTGCATACTCAAAGAATAATAGTGAATTATTCCAAACTGGATATGAATATCCTAAATCTTCATAGAATAATTCCAATTGCACTTTTAAATCTAAAAGTATTGACTCTTCAATATTTTTTTGTAGGATTCGCTTTTTTAATAAAATCTTAATATATTTATCTAATAGATAGACTATAACAATTAATATATTAAAAATTATTGTTTTATTCAAACAACTAATCATACCTTCATTTGTATCATTCTTAATGTTATTGGGCTTCTCAAATACAAACCAATTACTTTTTAAACACTATAAATTTTGTGAAAGGTTTAAACCATTTCTTGATAATGAAAAATGCATATCTATACCTCTATCTAGTAAATGACGTATTGCAAACAATGTATTATAGTGTTTTAATAGGCTCAAATCTATGTTCTTTCGATTTGTTCGTAGAACAATGTTCTTGAATATTCAATGCATTATTTCTTTTGTTTCCACACCAGTATTCAACAAATTTGCATAATTCTGAGCATGTTGAGTCATATGGAAATTGATATGCAAATTTGAAAGATTTTTGAAGTCCTCAAATGACTGTTACAAGAATAGAATCAAATTTAGTTATCGTTATGAACTTTCTTAAATATCGCATAGTTAATCTAGTAATGGACCTTTTTATGAATATTTTTGAGCAATTAATAATTGAATTACCCAAATGCATAAAAAGTATCAATGTATGATACAGTATAATTAACAATTAAATATAATTCGATTAAATATGATTTAATAAATTCAATCTATAACAATATACAGATTAACAATTATGCTAATTGATTTCAAATAATAACAAAAATGTGAACTTTATAAAAATTATTGGTTATATTATTTTTGATGCTGGAAGTTCTATATATTTGAGAAATTTATTTATTAAATTCTTATTAGCTATTTACAATCCCATCACTATTAATATCCCATTGTTTTAATATATTTGAATAACAAACAATGTGGCATTTAAGGGTCTATACACTAAATTTGATCACTAAATTTGTATTACTATATATAAATAGCAGTAAGGTTCAAAAAATGACTACAATTAGTAATACCTGCACCAGGATTTTCCATTCATTATTCAAGCATTGTCACAATTCATTATAATCTTCTTTTGAAAAACACTTCTTAAATAAGATTCTTGTTGTCTTTGACACTATTATCCAACACTTTAGCAAGGCTTTTACAGCCAAATTATTATGTAAAAAACCTAGTCATTGTTGCAATTTGTAAAGTTCTGATTGCTTAAAATACTGAGATTTCAATAATCTATGAATAATAAAAAGAAACATCATAGCCAATTTTAAACAATCAGACATCATAAAACTATCAATATGTGAAACTGGATTTGGTATTTTTGACCAATTTTTTGGATATTCAAATGATTTCCAAATTGTAATAAATGCTGATTGTCCTTCTGTCGAAAGTGCTTCGACTGTTATTTTAAAAAGCCTCAATACTTTGCTACTTGTTGCATGATATACATCATGTGATGATTGAAGATGACTTTCCCATAACAATTTACTTAGTATCGGAGGATACAGGTGCAATCCATATTGTGCTGAGATTTTTTTGCATTTAGTTATTGTTGATACTGAAGAAATCTTCTCAAATTGTTTAGCTATTAAATGCTGATAACGAGAGCTTTTCAACAAATCAATATTATCTAACATCTAGTAATTTTTTTCAGTACTACAAGTACAGTAGCCTCTTGTAGCATTATGTCTTTTAACTTCAACTAAATCATTGTCCTGTAGCAAATTGGAGGTTGTATTCTCAATACTTGCAATTACAAGGCTTTTATTATCTTGTATATCTATTATCCTTCCTTTTTTAAAATGTTTCATCTCAGCAATGAAAGGTTTAATAAATTCATTAAACAAACTACCAAATAGTACAAATTCAAGTACAAAATAGTTCTTAAGTTGCTTTTGTTGGTCAAAGAACATGTTTCATATCTGAACATAGACTCCACCTAATGAATAGTAAATATTGCGAAATGTTCCAAAATCATCATAGTAAATATCTATGTACAATTTATAAATTGGTAGATTCATATTATGTTCTTTTAATGCAGCAAAGTTTGAAGGATACTGATAAGAATAAGTTACATTTCACAATTTTCATTTATTATTGTGCTTATATAATATTTCATGAATTATTATTGAAGAAATGTTATTTATATTGCTATCATACAATATTGTGATCATAATACGTTTGACAATCACTTGCAATTCGATAATAATAATTACATTATAAAAAAAAAAAAAACTCTTTCCCATAGATCCTAATTCCATAAGTAAACAATAAAAACAAAACACGGTAAAAGAGTAAAAGACCTC